CAGAGCAGCTTTTTGTCTGACCCACGCATCATCTCAAATCACCACCAACACAGGCTGAGCCAGCAGCGCTCACCCCAACCTAAGGCTGCTCCTGGGGTCCCATCACCCTCCATTCAGTGCTCCTCCATCACCCAGCGTGACCCGGTGGGGGAACAGCACTGTTATTTTTATACCCCTTCCAGCAAAAATAGCCAACCCCCCCCCCCTCCTCCCCCTTTGTGCTTTGCAGCCCTTCTCTGCGCCCGCTAACGCTGCTGTGACACAGGGCTGGGGTGGCTCCTTCCCCTGTGCGTCTGCCTGCATCACCTCGCTGCCCCTATTAATAGCTCAGAGATGGGGAGGGATGTAATCGAGGGAGACGTGGGGATCCTCCAGGGCTGTGCTGGGAAGGAGGGTGTGTGGAAGCAGGGGGTGAAGGAGGCAGCTCCAGTCTGATGGGGTTGGGGTTGGAAATTGGGTCAGATGGGATTTGAGTTGGGATTAGGGTGGGATGGCATGAGATTTAGGTTGGGGATTGAGATGGGGTTGGGGATGGGATTGGGATGAGTTTGAATGGGATTTGGGTTGAATGGGATGAGATTGGGGTTGGGATTGAGTTAGGGTGCAACTTAGGTTGGGGGTAGGATGGAGTCTGGGTGGGTTGGGGTTGGAATTGGGATGGGATCAGATGGGATTGGATGGGATTTGAGTTAGGATTGGGATGGGATGGGATTTATGTTGGAGATTGGGATGGGTTTGGGGACGAGATTGGGATGGGGTTGAATGGGATTTGGGTTTGATGGGATGAGATTGGGGTTGAGATTTAGGGTGGGTATGGGATGGAGTCTGGACAGATTGGGGTTGGAATTGGGATGGGATCAGACGGGATTTGGGTTGGGGGTGGGATTGAGATGGGGTTGAATGGAATTTGTGTTGGGATGGGAGGAGGTTGGGGTTGGGATTGGAACAGGGACTGGTGGGGTTTGGGTTGGGACGGAATGGGGTCGGATGGGATTTGGTTTGGGATTGGATGGGGTTGGGTTGGGTTAAGTCACTGATAAACCTGGGTTTGGATTCCTGATGCATTCCTTGGTGGTGTGAATGCCTCCCAAAGAGGATAATGCCTCTGAAGTGCTGTCCTCTTGACAAGGTGGCAAATGTTCTTAGGAAGGACGAGAGGTGAGGGCTTGAGCTCAGCATCTTGGACACCCCAAGCCCCTGTTTGGGGGCACATTGCAGCACATGCAGCACTGGGCTGCTGCCACTGCCCTACATGGACGCCAAGTCCAGAGCTGCTGCAGTCATTTGGGAACAAACCCCAGCATTTCCCATCCTGTTCCTGGCAGGGAACGTCCCCAGCCAGCGAGGAGCCTGCAGCTCATCAGAGTGAGGGGGCTTTATGGAGAAAGAGAGGAAAACACGGATGGGGAGAACAACGGCACAAACAAAAGAGTTTAAATTTATCAGCAGCGATGAATCAACTCGCGTTGTCTTGGGAGCAGGAGTGATGCTTGAATGGGATGCCGTGCGGGATGTGGGGAAGGATGGGCCTCCAAGGATGGGGAGGGTGGAGGAAAACAGCGTAACTGAGGAAAAGGAAACGTCTCATTAGCGTGGCTTTGCTGTGTGGGGGCATGAAGGAGGAGGAATTTGGGCACCGGGGTAGGATAGAGGGGGGATGAGCCTCTGCCCTATAGCAGATATGGGGTCTGGGTTTGGTGCACGGCTGGGGCTTGCACCCAAAAGCAGAGGCAGAAACGTGCATCCATTGCACCGTGGGGTTCAGCCTTGGCACAGCCAGCATCGCCTCCCTGAGCCCCCTGCGTGGCAGCCGGGGGGAGAAGGCAGCCACCGCATCCAGCACACGGCTGTGCCATCGTGCGCTGGTGCTGTGCAGGGTTTGCAGCTGGGAAAAGAGAGGGAGACAAAACGGAAAGCGTCAGTCATTATTCACGACGATTTGGGTTTCAAAGTGAAGCCAGGAGTGTCTCTGAGAGCCGGGATGCAGCCTGGGCTGCTGTGGGGGGTGGGAGAGCTCTGCATCCACACGGCGAAGTCAAGGCCATGTGCGTAATAATGCAATTATGGCATTGCTGCAGACAAAGAGCCCAGCGGCCGCGTCATCAATCACACACGTTGGAATCAAGTGTGCTGCATGAGGGCTCATTATTTAATGGATTAATTAGCAAAACAGAAAAAAAAAAAAAAAAATAGCAAACGTCTCCTCGGGTTGCAGATTTGCAGATGCTGTTCTCTGGAGCTGGGTGCACGTGGGGAAGCACCGTTCAGTGCCGTGCCATCGCTGCATCCTTCTGCCTCTGCTCCTCCATCAACACCCCCGGGCCCCCCCGGAGCGCTCCGGGTTCTGCTGCTCCCCATCTCTGAGCCCATTGAGGTGACAGAAAGCGATAAAGGCTTGAAAAAAAGCCCCGACGTCTCGTTCAGTGCCGGCTCCGACGCCCGTTTCCATTCGCTCCTGCTCTAAATCCTCATTTGCATTTAGATTACTCGGGCTGGGTGCTGTGCCGCTGCAATAATGAGCACAGAAGGACCCATCGGTGCCGCTGTGCGCTCAGATCCTCCGTACGGCGGCCCTGGGGGGGCACAGACCCTCCTCATCTCCCCCCCCCCCCCCTCCCCCTCAAAGCATCCCCTCTCGTTTTCGGCTCTGGGGAACGGAAGCGGCGCTGGAAGCTCTCGGCTCTCTTTTCTTTCCCAGCAGGTGCAGCTCCTGTACAGCAATGGCACCGAGGGACGAGGGCTGGGGGCAGCAGCGCCATCCCTGGGACACAGCAGAGGGGACAGGGACGGGGACGCGGGGTCTGCCTGTAGATAGAGCCATGTACATCTATATAAATGTATGTATAAGTGTGCAGGGCGCCCCCCCCGTCAGCATCCTGACTGGAGTGGAAGCAGGGTTAAGTTCTTCCTCTGCTTTCTCTTTCCCCTCCTGCATCTGCCGGAGTGTGGGCGAGTTTAAAAAATAATGACCAAGAGCCTTTTAACCCACTTTAAGGGCACTGCAGCACATTTTCCAGCAGGCTGAGAGAGCGGCGGGGCCCTGCGGGGTGGGAAATGGTCCTCAGCACTGTGGCCTCATGGATGGAGCTGTGATGGTGGGGTCACCTCCCCCACGTGTCCCTTGTGCTGCAGTACACAGAGCCCCGGGGCAGCTCAACCACACAGGGACACCCCAATCATACGGGGCATCTCAATCCCACAGGGACATTCCAACTCTGCAGGGACATTCCAACACTTCAGGAGCACACCAATCCCATATGGACATTCCAACCCTGCAGGGACACCCCAGTCCTGTGTCACTCCGACCCCACAGGACATCCCAAACCTACAAAGACATCCCAACCCTATGGGACATCCCAATCCTTCAGGGACACCCCAACCGCACCAGGACATCCCAACCCAACCAGACCCAGTTCTACAGGGTACTTCAACCCTACAGGGAAATCCCAATCCCACAGGGCACCCCAATCCTACAGGGGCATTCTAACCCTGCAAAGACACCTCAGTCCTACTTGGACACCCCAACCCTGCAGGACATCACAAGCCTGCAGGGTGCCCCAACCACACAGGACGTCCCAGGTCTACAGAGATACCCCAACCCTGCAGGACATCCCAATCCTGTAGAATACCCCAATCCTACAGGGACATTCTAACCCTACAGAGACATCCCAACCCTACTGGGACACCCCAACCCTACAGGGGCATCCCAACCATACAAGGACAGCCCAATCATACAGGCACATCCCGACCCTTTAGGACACCCCAAACCCCACACGGGGCTGACGCTCAGCCCAGTGGGAGGCACAAGCAGACGAAGCTTTGCAGCGCAGAGGTGTTGCTCAGCTGGGAGGGATGCACTGCAGACAGGTTGTGAGGGTGCCCCAGTGATCCTTGATTTGAGATCCAAAATTTTGCTCCGTTTGGCCCTTCCAAGAAGAAATTGGTCTCCGTTGCCTCGTCAGCTCTGCCTTGCAAAGGGGCAGGCTGCAATCGCCAGCAGCTCTGCAGCAAGGTAAGGCCGTTGTGGAGAGGTAATGACCTTCATTAGGCTCAATTGATGCAACTGGAAAAAAAACAGAGCCAAGAGGCAGCCTCTCCTTCCAGCCCACGCGCCCCAGGTGCACCCGCGCGCCCGCCTGCTTCCTCCAGCACCATCAATTTGTCCAATAAAAGCCATTAGTGCTCCTTCTGAGCCCCATCCTCCGTGGGCTGTGTGCCCTCATAGGCACAGAGCTGCTGCAGGAGGTGGAAGGGACGGAAGGTCAGCGGCACCAGGGATGCATCTGTCCCTGTTTAGCGGTGGTAATGCAGTGCAGAGCCCCAGGGCTGATGGCTGTTGCAGATGAGCTCCCACCGAGGTGCTGCTGGAGAACGGGGCTCCATCGGCGTGGTGCTGAGCACAAAACCCCAGCCCTGGGCTGGGCTCTGCCTCGCGAGTGGCTGCGAGTGCATAAACTGTCAGTGCTGGAGAGGACGAGGGATGGATGCGCCGTCCTAATCGCGTTAGCGCTGCGAGAAACTCCTCAAGTCCCCACCAATTGCTCTGTAATGAGATCTTCCTCGGGCTGGCTGTCTCTGGCAGCAGACGGATGGGAGCTGCCCTGTGGGATGCAGGAATGCAGCGTTGCCGTGGGGCTGGGGATGCTGCGCCCGCATTGCCAGCTTTGCACCCGTGGGCAGGGTTGCCAGTGAGATCCCAAAAACGCAGCAGTAGTATCAACTCAAAAGTCCTCTCTGGGGCCAGAGCTGGCTTGGAGGTCTCCAGTAAACCCATGGGTTTACTGGATGGTTCACCGATGGGTTTTCCATAGGCAGAAAGGCAGCCCAAGCCCTACGCGAGCGGTGGGCGTCCTCTCAAGGCTCAACGAGCCCCACCAAAAAGAAAACTCCCCGCAGTCTGTCTGCATTCAGTCCCAGCAGGGCTAAAGCTCTGTGGTCGTCTCCTGGGTGACCTCTGAGCGCGGCTCGTCCCCAGCACCCCGCTGCTCACCCACGCCTAGTCATGCCGGCTGGCCGCGGCCGTCCGACGGGGCGCAGGTGGAGACGCGCTCCCGCGTGGTGTTCCGAGCTCTGGAGAAGCTGTTCTGCTCCACACGAGCTCGGAAGGGCAGGCAGAACTCGCGGAAACACCTCTTGAAGTTTTCATCCAGGAAAGCGTAGAGGACGGGGTTGAGGCTGCTGTTGGTGTAACCCAGCGCGATGCAGAAGTGCAGGCTGGCCACCACGTAGGGGTTCTTCTTGTCGATGTCCACCAGCGTCCAGACGATGACGAAGATGTGGATGGGCGTCCAGCAGATGATGAAGGCTGCCACCACCACCAGCACCATGCGGGTGATGCGCCGCAGGTTGCGGTCCTTCTCCTTGGAGCCTGAGAGCAGACGGACGCTCTTCAGGCGCAGGATCATCAGCCCATAGCAGATGGTGATGACCAGGATGGGCACCATGAAGGCGAAGATGAAGACGCAGATCTTGGTCACCGTGTCCCAGTAGATGGGAGGGTCGGGGAACTGCAGCGTGCACAGCACTGTTCCATCTGCTGGAAGAGGGATGAAAACAAGGGAGAGCAGATGGAGCGTCTGCTGGGAACTGAATGCTTCTGCTCCGTGGTGGCAGAGCATCTCCATCCGTGCTAAAACCACCAGGAGATGCGTGCCCATCTCATTGCAGACTGCCCTGGAGCTCTGTGGGGTGCCTGTGGGATGCAGGAGGTGCCACCAAACTGGGGATCGTTCTGTGCAGAGCCTTTTGCAGCATCTCAACCCCTGCATTGGGCGCATCCCCCTGTCACCTTCCACTGAAACTGATTGCTTCTGCAGGATGCCCAGATTTCTCCCAGCAGCCACCAAACAGGAGCTGCAGACTCACTGGGGATTTCGCTATATAGCCAGTATACCCATCATACCCCAAGCCCCGACGTTGGCACCTGATCTGCACCCCAGCAGTGAACACCTGGGACTGTTTCCAACCTCTGCAACCAAAATGGAAAACAGCACCATGCTGGTTTTCCACCACGGTCGTGATGCAGGGACGACCTCCAACGGAGCACAAACACGGACAGGACCGAGTGGCTCAGCAGTGTCACCCCAGGAAGCACAGATGGGACCTTTCCTCAAAAGCTCACTTGCCTTTTGACTTGGTGACTGCCATGACCATGATGGGCACCCCAATGACAGAGGAGAGCACCCAGATGCAGACGTTGATGACCTTGGCTTTGGCTGGTGTGCGGAAATCCAGCGCCTTGACCGGGTGACACACGGCCACGTATCGGTCCACACTCATCATGGTGAGGGTGAAGATGCTGGTGAACATGTTGTAGTAGTCGATGGAGAGCACGAGCTTGCAGAGCAGCTCCCCAAAAGGCCAGGTCTCCATCAGGTACTTGGCGCTCTGGAAGGGCAGCGTGCTGGTGGCCAACGCGTCGGCCAGCGCCAGGTTGAAGATGTAGATGTTGGTGGCTGTCTTCATCTTGGTGTACCTGAAGGGGAGGGCAGAGGTGGGGGCTGGCGGGCGCTCAGGGAACCAGAAATCCTCCTGGTTTGGTTTCCTATCGAATTTGAGTGGGGTGGGGAGAATCGCTGAGCAAATGTGGCACTGAGGGGGATGGTGGTGGGGTTGGGTCGGGGTTGGGGATCTTGGAGGTCTTTTCCAACCTGACTCTGTGATTCTATGAGTGGGCACGGGGGGATGGGTTGAGATTGGACTGGATGTTCTTAGTGGTCTTTTCCAACTGTAACGATTCTATGTGCCCATCTGGGGAAGGGCTGGGGACGTGCTGCTGCATTGGGTGAAGCCAAAGGAGCCTCTCCCACATGCCTGGCCAGGGAAACAACACTCATTCATCTGCCTGCCTCTACTTGGAGATCAAAGCAACTCCGAAGAGCTTTTCAAATAAGTCTCTTTTCCAATTAAATCGATTTACTCCATTTCCCCGAATCAGTTGCACAATGTCCTTTACCTCCTGAAACCTCCTCTATCTGATTTTCCACCCAGTAAATCGTGATTATCCAGCCTGCTTCCCTGTCGAGTTTCCTTGCAGAAATTGGATCGATTACCCCCTGAAAGAGGCCAGATGGGATCAGCACCATCAGCAGCACCATCAGCACGGCTGGAGCTGCTCCACAGGAGCCCTTGGGGAAGCCTGGCCCCACGCATGGCACAGGGACATGGGGACGTTGGCTCTGCTGCTGAGCTCTGGTCCTCATCACGCAGTGATAGGAGCAGTGCCTGGACCCGGTGCTGAGAGCTGAAGGTCCCCAAAGGTCACAGTGCTCTGGGAGACCACCGGGTTGTTTGTGGGGTGCTGGGGTCAGGACTGTGCTTGCAGCTCCATCCCCTCCATGCGCTCCTTCCCAGGTATCCCCCATATCTCAGAGCATCCTCTGCAGCCCCCAGCTCATTAAGGTGCCCCCTAATTGATTAGCAAAGCATCTCCGTGCCTGGATAAAGCTGCTCGCAGCATCCATAGGGGGTCAGGCTGAGAACTGGGGGAGGGTGCTGCACTGTGGATGACGGATTTGGCTCTGGGACGTGGGGGGAGATGATCCTTGGGCTGTTGGGGCTCAGCTTAGAGAATGACTCCATCACGCAAGGAGCAAATTGGGGCAAGGCAGGGCTCCGTTTCCTTTGGCTTTCCCCACCATCCACCATCAGACCCCACCGGAGGGATGCAGCCCCAGGTTTGTGCTGTCAGAGATGGAGCTGCAGAAATGGGGCTCTGCACAGCAGTGAGCGCATTCCTGCTGCAGCCCCTCGCCTGGGGGAGGGTGGGGAGGGAAGAACATCTAATCTGAATTTGCTCTTTAAGCACAACGTGAGTTTGAAATTTCTTTGAGACGTTTCCCTTTCCCGTGCCACTGCGCTGTCGGTGAATGCACGTTTCAGCAACGTCTCCTTCTGGGTTAAACAAAAAGCTGAGGATTTCTCTTTGCTGTCAGTTTTTGTTTTGGCTCACCCAGGTTAAAAATAGCCATTCCAGGTAGATTCACACTTCTCTGCTCTCTGCTTTTTGCACAAAGGGGACAAACGTGTGACTCGGGCTGCGCAGCGCAGTGCTGGGTAAGCGCTTCTGCAGCTGCTGCCAGATGTGCCCCCTCCTGCAGAGGGTTTTGGGGAAGGATTCAGCCCAGTGGGGGGGTCCAGGGTGGTGAACCTCCCCTCCGGGCTGCCAGTGTCACCAGTTCTTCCAAGGAGGGGCTTAAACACTACAGACAATGCGATCTGTTGGATGGTGGCTGGGTGCTGGACGTGGGCTCCCATTTTGGCTGCTCTGGGCTTTGGGTTTTGGCTTGGATGGGCTCCAGGGTGGAGGGATGGAGGTGTTGGGCTGTGCACAGGGTCCTGCATGTGCTCATCACCGGTACCCACAGCACACTGGGGAATGGGGTCCCCATGTTTCCACATCCCCAGGTCCCCATGTCCCCAGGCCCTGCTGGTGCACTCCAGCCACAAACCCCCCTGCAGAGGGATCTGGACCCAGACTGTGCTTGCAGTCCCACTGACAGCCCCATCCCGTGCAGCTTTCCCCCTGTAAATCCTACCCAACGCAGAGCAACCCGCCCATATAGCAAACTGCTCTGTCCTTAGCCTGCATTCTGCCGAATGCACACAGATGCCAAAAGCTTTGAAACCTTCAGTTTTGCAAGGCTGAGCCCCCACCTCGTGCAGCAAACCCCAGAGAAGCCCTCCAAGAACCATCAGAGGGGCTCAGAGGGCAATGCACTCCCATCCCCCAGAGATACAGCGTCTGGGTCAGGGAGTGGGGGGCCTGAAATCATGGCTATGTGCTCTGGCTGCTGCACCAGGCTGCGTTCGTTAAGCACGGGCAGCAATGAGGTGACCGTATGAGTTTGCTGACGAGGATGCTGTTTGCACAATCAGGCTTTTTCTATCTCAAAATGCCGTCCCTGCTCCAGGCAGCTGGAGGGGGCTGACCATGTGCATCCCTCACTGCGTGCTTCCCCATGATTTCTGCTTTTTTTCTCTCCAGGGTCAACTGTACAGCTGCTTTGGGTGGGTGAAAAACTCCTGCTGGCGCTGTGTCTGAGCCCCCCGCCCGGCACAGGGCTGCGGGAAGGAGCTGCCTTTGTTCCACGGGGATGCTGTCCCTCCTCTGAGCTTTGCCATTGGGTTTGCATGCCGTTCCTTCTCACACCACCGATTCCGGGGGCCTCAGGAGCCAGCTGGGAAGGTCACACCGCTGACCCCGTGCGATGGAAGTGCCGGGATTGGAGGGGAAACGGGACAAAACGGGGAATCCCACACAACCCCCAGCTGCTGGCAGGGCTCCTGCGGTCCACAGAGCTGCCCCGTTCTGTAGGGATGGGGGGGGGACACGCACGGCTCTCTGTGGTCCCACCCAGCCACGAAGGGCAGCAAGTGGATCCTACAGCGCGCCTGCAGGAGGGAGGGGAACGGGACCCCCGGATACCATCTCCCGCAGCCCCACTTCACGCACACACAGCTGCTCTGTCTCTGCACCCCCTCTCACCTCCGCGCCTTGCACACACGTGTGTGCTCACACGTGGCCGCATTACACTCAGCTCGGCACCCGGGGGCTCTCCGCACCCGGCGCGCCCCCAGCCGCGCTCCCGCGGTCCCCTCGAGCGCAGCACAGCCCCGCTGCACCCGCACTCATCGCCCTCTCAGACCCCGCGCACTCTTCCGCCTTTTACACGCTCCCGCAGCCCCGCTCTCACCGCACGATGCCGTACATCACCAACACGTTGCCCAGCAGCCCCACCACGCACACCACCGAGTACAGCGCGGTGATGACGATGGCGATCAGGATGGAAGTGGCGTTTTTGGTTCTCGGCGGTCCCGTCTCATTGCCGCTGGTTCCGGGCAGGGCATCCCATGCTGTGCGGTTATCCCACACCGCGAGCGGCTCCGTGGGCAGTTCCGTGTTCAGCTCCATGCCCCGCAGCGCCCGCACCCCGCAGACCCAAAGCCGCGGGTTCGAGTCCCGCTCCCGCCCGGCGCAGCCGCCTCCCGCGGTCTCCTTATAGAGCCGCCGTGTGCTCCGAGCCACGTGGGGCCGGGGGCGGCCCTGCCGTCTTCTGCCGCCTCCCCCCGCACCCTCCTGGTCCCTACCTGCATCCCAGACCCCTCCCAGCACGAATCTTTATTGCCCTCTGCCGCAGCCCACCCCTCCCCCCGGTCCCTGCTCCATCCCGGTCCCTGCCGCCCCCACCTCGATCCCTGTTGCACCCCCCACACCGTGGCCCTGCTGCCTCCGATCCCGGTTCCCTACATCACCTCGTCCCTCCCGGACCTCCCCCGGTTCCTGCTGCACCTCCCCCTCTTCCTGCAGAGCCCCCACACCCGCTCCCTGTTGCCCCATCCCACTCCCTGCTGCCTTCCTCCGAAGTCATTGAGGGGCCACGAACATCCCGGGGGTCGCAGGGCTGGGGGACATCGGGTTGGGTGCAAACTGCAATACTGATCCGGTTTTCTTTTGTTTGCAAGAAGGCTGGGGAGGGGGGGAGGAGGGGTGTGGGAGAGGAGAAGGAATGGGGCTGGGAGGGCAAACAGCCCCTGTCCCCACAGAGAAGCTGGGGGCCCCATATGGGACCGGGGCTGCCCATGGGAACAGGGCTCCAAATGGCGTTGGAGGTCTGAACGGATTGGGGCTGCAAAAACGATCGGGATTCCAAATGGGAACGGGGCTGCACGTGGGGTCGGGGCTCCAAATGATGTCAGAGCTCTGAACGGGGATCAGGGCTCCAAATGGGATCGGTGCTCCAACAGGTCTGGGAACCCAATGGGTTGTGCTGGGGGACCTGTGCTCCTCTGGCGGGGTGTGAGGAACCCCAGAGGTCGGCGGGATGGAGGCGCCCCACGCCGCCCAGCTGAGGGTGCAGCTCGTTTTGGTGGGGATATTTGCTCCCCCCAAAGCTCTGCAGGCTGTGGGTCCGACCCGGGGTGGGAGCAGCACATCACCCCACACCCCGCAGCTCTCGGGATGCTTTGGGGTTTGTGGAAAGGCACTGAGGAGCTCCGCAGCCGCTGAGCCCTTCCCACACCGGCACTCAGCCTTGAAGAGGAACACGGGCTGAGCTCCGCCGTTTGTTTTCCTACGTCAACAGCTCCGAGTGCTCTCCTACCTCTCGGGGCAGCTGCTGGGAGAGAACAAAGCCCGGCGTCAGGGGAGACCAAAGCAGCTGAGCTCCTTCCCTGCCTCGCTCGGAATCTTTGGGCATCGTTACCCCTCCGGTGCTGCTTGGGGTCGGGGGGCTGCACGGGGACCCCCCGCCCGGTGCGTTGCTGCTGCAGATGGCGGTGGTGTCACCGATGCCGCCCGTGTCCCCGAGGTGTTCTCACCTCCTAGTGGGCATCGCCAGCCTGCCCCGATGCAGGATGCATCGGTGGTTCTGCCTACAGCCCATCCCCGTGAAAAACACCTAAGAATCAGCCTGAAATGAAGGTGGTTGCTTCAGAGTGGGGGTTATCAAACCCTCCCCCCACCCCTCCCAACATCGCGCCTGGCCCCGTAGCAGGGAAGGGCGCAGGGCACCGCCAGCACTGCGCACCCATCGGTCCCTATGGGAGATTTGTTTTTCTCTGATTGTCGCTTATTTTGGTATTTTCACAACCCCCTTCCCCCCCCCCCCCCTCCCCCCACCCCCCTTCAGGCTGACAATGGAGCTCTGATTGCACACTGGCAGAGGCTGCCCAGATTTGGGGAGCTGCTCCCCCCTCCTGCGCTGCTTCCATGCGTTGCAGCATTCACATGCAGTGAGTCATCGGGCAGCGAGACGTCCAAGGGGGGGGGGGGGGGACAGAGGCACAGCTTCCAAAGGCCATCACCACAGCTGTGTGTCTGCCTCCCTTCGGCTGCACACAGGCTGTATGTCCGTGCGTTGCCCCCCAGCATGGGGGACCTGTCAGACCCCCGGCTCACCCCTCTCCTGCTCACAGGGGAAGGCATACGAAGCATTCCCTTTTTCTTTTTGCCTCCCCACCCCGATGCCCAGACGCGAGGATGCTCAGCTGTGGCTCCTGGGTCCCCGCAGCCTCAGCCCACGCACCCCCCTCCCCCGGGGAAGGAAGGGATGTGGGCTTTGATGTGGGGAATTCAGGTCAGCACTAACCCAGATCCATCCCCACTGCTCCCCCGTCGAGCTGCGCTCTGTTCCCATCCCATTTTCCACCCCACACTCCAGGCTCTCCCCTTTACTTATTCATGTGCCTGCAGCTGTTCTCCCTGCACTGGTGGGGTTGGCTTGGGGAGAAGGGGAAGTCAGAGCATGGGAGTGTTTGGCTGTGAGTTGAGTTTGGGCAGAAATGTGGAGCACCTGCAGTCCCAGCTGGCTTTAACAGCAGCAGCGGTTTGGGGAGGCTGTGTTGGATGTGCAAAGCCCTTCTTGTAGCTCCAATGCACCCAGCAGCACGGGTGAGCCATGGGAACCCACGGGCTTAGCTGCAGTGATGCTGATTCAAGGGTTTTCATCATTTTTTTTTAGCTCTTCCTCCTGCAGAAAGGCAGCTGGGTTCCTACCAGCCCAACCCATCCCATGGCTCTGAGGTTGCATGACCAATGTGCAGCAAAACGTGGGCAGGTGAATGGATGCAGTGCAGGAGTGGCACCCAGTGATGCAGGAGCAGCACCCACAGATTCAGGAGTGGTACCCATAGGTATAGGAGCTGTACCCATAGGTGCAGGAGTGGTGCCTGTAGGTGTAGGAATGATACCCACGGATGCAGGAGTGATGCCTATAGATGTAGGGGTGATTCCCATAGATGTAAGAGCTGCACCCATGGGTGCAGGAGTGGTATCTCTAGGTGTAAGAGTGATACCTAGGGATGTAGGGGTGGTACCCACGGATGTAGGATTTGTATCCATAGATGTAGGGGTGAAACCCCTCGATGCAGGAGCAGTACCCACAGATGTAGGTGCAGAGCTGTGCCCATGGGTGCAGCACAGTTCAACCCATCACCCGGATGAACTGTCTCCACTTGCACCGGGGCAGACTGCAGGGTGGGCACTGGGAAGAGCCTTCACACAGAGGGCTCAGGCTCTGGATGCCGCTGTGGGGCGGTGCGTCCGTGCCTGGAGGAGGGCTGGTGGCACTGGGGGACGTGGCCGGGGCTGGCAGCACGTGGCCGTGGGGCTGGAGCCACGGGCAGTCGGCAGGGGGACTTTTTTCCCTCTCCATAGCGGAGGTGCCTTCTGAGCAGAGCATTTATTCTCTCTCCTGGTGCTTCTCCTTTCCTCCGTATCCAAGCGCATCCTCGGCGGGCCGGGATGAGTCACGGCGGCTGCAGCAGCGCTGTAAGAGCATCAGCGCACGATTCCCCCCGAGGCTCCGCGGCTCCGCATCGCCCTTCGCCAGCAGTTCCGCTCCGCACGCACTCATCGCTCTGCCCTCGGGAAATGCCACGTCCTGCTGCCAGGTGGAGGGCAGCGAGGTGGTGCCGGCCCAGCAGGTGACACTGGGGCCGCAAACCAACCCCACCCCCCCCAAAAGCAGGAGCTCAGCTCCACAACCCTCTGTGGTTCGCTCCCTAATTACGCACCCTGCACGGCCGGGCTGCTTTGCAGAGTGCAGTTAATTAACGTTTGCATCCTTGGCGCTTGCTGACCCTGCCAGACTCGGAGCTGCTGCGGGTAACGGGTTTGCTGCAGGACGAGCTGTTTCTGAGCTGGGTTTGGAAGGCAGGGTTGGTGCTGGGCGGTGCAGCCCCGCGTCGGGGCTCATCCGGAGCTCGGGGGAATGGAGTCGAGGTGCAGAGGGAGCAAAACAAAGCTGTAGGGTCAGCGTGGGCCGTGCTGTGCTGGCTGTGCATGGCCAAGGCGTGCTGAGATGCTGCTTTGGGGGCAATGCGGGCAGGTTGGAAAACACACAAACGTTTCCCTTGTGCAGCACAAATCCTTTCCCTTTGTGTGCATGGCACGGATGGGATGCAGAGGGACCGAACATCAGGGTGAGCTCCCAGCCCAGAGCAGGGCAAACCCCAGTAAATAAATGGGGGCACACACAGCTCCCTCGAGCTGCCTGGTGCTTCGTGAGATCACCACAGATCAATCTGCTGCTCTTGATTGCTGAGTGCCTGAGAGCCCCTGGTGGGGAGGAGCACAGCGTCAGGTGGGGAAGCCAACGCTGCTGCAATCTTTCCCCCATCATTATTTAGGTCGCCTAACCCCTATGCAGAGCTCAGGGATGGGGGTTAACCTAACAGGGGGCAGCTGCTTTGTGGATTTGGGGGCAGAGCCGAAGCTGAGATTTTGGGGAGGCTGTGTGGAGTCAGCAAAGCAGGGGAATCACCACACACCGGCTCTGCTTTTGGGAAAGCAAACCTTCCGTCATCCTGTAAATCCTGTAATTTTCCATGCAATGTGTTTCACCCTTCCAAGCAAAGCTCCGGGTCGGGGTTATCTCAGCAGATGCATTTTATCATCCAGGGAGGGGTGGGGGCTGACGGGGTGGCACTGCAGGATGGCATCCCTGCTGCTCAGCCCGCTGCCGCCGGCGCCTCACAAAGGTTGCAGGTGACAAACTGATTATTTTTTTTCCCCCCTGATTTTCAAACAGGAGCAAAGAAGGGACATCACGTGCTGCAAAGATGGGCGCAGCGCTGTTGTCTCCATCCAGAGGTGTGAATCCCATTCTCTGGCAGTGCAGCACGGGGATGGGGAGAAGGGGGGGAAGGGGGCACAAGAGGGGATGCTGTGTGGAAACGATGCCTACGAGCTCCAGGAGGAGGAAATCTCCTCGGGAGGACAAGGAGTGTGGCTGCATTGAGATCGGGGATGGGGGCTTTGGGGTCTGCTCTTCACCTCGTGCATCCCCCGAAGTCAGAGCCTCCCGGCCTTTAAGGACAGAGAAAAAACTGCTGATGGAGGTGTGGGTAAACAGCAGCTGTGTCCCTGCACTGCGCAGCGTGCAACCCCCCCCCCCCCCCCCCCCCCGCTCA